AGGACCGGGGACGGCAGCAGCTCTGTCATCGTGTGTTCTAGGAGAATCGCTCAGCACAGCGACACGGAGGGACAGAGGGGCCTTGAGGAGGCCAGAGCACAGTCCTGGAGACACAGCAGGGCCTGGGCCCCGGTCGGGGGCAGGAAAGGGCTTAGAGGCTGACTAGCGGGGAGCCCAGTACCATGGGGCAGGGAGGAGATGGATCTCCTGGTCCCTCAGGACCTGCACTGGTTGGGAAGGGGGAAGCTCATGTTCTCTGAGGAAGGGGCCAACAAGGGGCAACAGTCCTCCATGCTCCAGGAGGGTCCCCTCCTCCCCGATCCTGAGAGAGAGGAGACTTCTGGGGCAGCCAGTCCTGGCCAAAAAAGGAAACCAAGAGAAGGGGAAGCTTTCTGGCCCCCAAGCCGCCAACCAGAGGAGAGGAAGTGTAGTCAGTCTCTTATGACACAGCCAGACGGCCCTGCAGTGGCTAAAATGACGGACATAGGGCTGGGGGTGGAGGACAGGACATCAGCTGGGGCCCCAGAGGCCAACCAAGAGTCACCCACTCCCACCACTGCCCCCTGTAGTTCACTGGACCCCTTCCCCTGGGCTGAGCCTCAGCTTCTCTCCTGCACATTAAGAGCCCTGGCCTGGCCTTCCTCAAAGAAGGGTGCCCAGCCCTCCCTGCTGCTGTCCGCCCAGGGAGTGATCCCCACCCCCACTAAGGAGGTAAAGGTTCCTGGAAGGGAAGCTGCTCAGAGAAAGGGCATCTGCCCCTCCCCTGCCAGCAGGGCCTGGCTGGTGCTGGAGGAGCTCCTGCCCCCATGGAGAGTCTCTGCTGAGGGACAGGCCTCCTCACCTGGAGAACCCCTATGGTCAGGAGTAAGGCGGAAAGCCCTATTCTCTCTGGACCCAGTCCCAGCTTCCTGTCAGGGAGCTGTGACACAGGAGGCCCTCCCTGCCTGCCATGGTCCTTCTTTCCCACTGCTGGGCTGGCTGTGGAAGGTCAGGTGGCCCAGCTCAGATGTTCCCTCCTGCAAGAAACCTTCCGGGAGCCCCCAGAACCAGGCTGACTCAACATCTCCCTCTTTGAGGCCCCCACTTGGCTCCTCTCCTCTCCCTGGTCCTAGATGAAGTTTTTGGATCTGAAATCCTGTCACACCAGGTGCTTCCTCCTGTCCCTCTCTTCCCCCAGCCCATCCTGACTCACCACTTCTTCTAGGAAGCCCTCCTTGATTGAGCAGACTGGGTTACGTACCTCCTCAACTCCCACAGCTGCCCTCTGTTACAGGCCCTGCCACATTTCATCGTAACTGCAGGCTGACCTGCCAGCTTGTCTCCCCACCTACAATGAGAAGTCTACAGACTTGTCTAGTTTCTCATCCCTGGATCCCCAAGCCCAGCGCTGGGACCAGCATAGGGCTGGCCCCAGCAAATGTCAAAAATGCTGAATTACTATGTCCATCCTTAAGGCCACAAATCAATGATCAGCTTTCTCCAGTTGATCCTCAGCCTTCGGCTCAGGAGAGAAAAAGATAGGAAAGAACACACAACTCAAGGATTTCCCCTGACTTCCCAGGTTTCAATTTCTCCTCAAGCTAATATTTGCACAGGCCACCAGAGCCTCTGCCCATCCCAGAGAGTCAGGAATCCCAGAAGGTTAGTGCTCTGATAAGCATATGCTTCTCCCTCCACCTGCTTTGGACATTTGAGGAAACTGAGGCTCAGAAAAAGGCAAGAACTTGCTCAGAGTCACACAGAAAATCAGGCCAGAGCTGAGACCAGAACCAGGCTCCCGCCTTCCCATCTCTCCCCACACCATGGTCATCGCAGGCCTGGGCCAACATCTACCCCACTCCAGACTGCTCTCAGAATCTTCACTAGCCAGGACTGAGAGGCCACAGAGCTTGGCAGGAAGCTTCTGGTGACATCACTGGGCATCTCTCCCATTTCTCCCAGCTTAGGAAACACCCCCTCTCCTCCTGGGAATTGCCTTCCTTCCCTGTTCTGCACGGGGAGTTCACCTTGAAGGTGATGAGCACATCTAAGTCCCCAAGGGGGCAAGGATTTCCACTGGAAATGCTGATGCTTGGGGAGCCCCAGCTGTGACCTCATCCCCTGGAGAAGGTGACAACAACCCCTGCCCTAGGGAGAGGCCCCATAATGGCTCCCCCAGCAGCAGGCAAGTCAACAATAACATCCTGTTGTTTAACAAGACAAGGAAGAGGGCAAAGCCAGCTAGGCGGGTGGAGACTGGGCTCTTTTTCTCGCTGTGGACAGGCTGGCTCACCTCTGACATTGGGGGTCAGGACCTTCCCGGGCTTCTTCATCTCCCCCAAACAAGGATGGAACGCAAGAGGAGTGTACAGCTTACATAGGCAAGCCAACCTCCTGCCCTCACCTGCAACCCGCTCCCCTCCAGCCCCTGCTTACAGGGAGGTTAGGCCCACACATTCACATTCTTGACTGGCCCATGTGTCAGTGACAGCCCCTGGAGGACAACCTCCAGAGCCTTTCCTGCTCTGGTGAGCTCTGAGGGTCAGAGACAGGTGCGGAGCTCAAGGGCACCCAGCAGGTCAGCGCTGGCACATCCCTCTCTGTGTTCAGAGCTGCTCTGGGCCAGGACTCATCAGGCTGGAGAGGCATCGAGATTCAGACAAGTGCAGGCTGGGACCCTCCCAGAACTCCCTGATCTAATCTTTCTCTAGGGATTAGGGGTCCAAGCAGCAGAAAATAAATGACAAAGAAGAACCCTCCATACCTATTCCGGTCCCCACACCTGTCCTGCCTTAAAACTAAAACCCCCATCTATGCCTCAAACAGAAGTGGCACCAGAATCACCATTATCCTTGATCTAGTTGTTCCTGGAGGCCAGCTCCTCCTGTACTCCCCACCCACTGGTATACAAGGACCTAGGCCTATACTACAGCAAGGCTGGAGGGTCCTCCTCTCACTCTACTCCTGGGTTTGCCCTGCCCAAACCCATTCGTGTCCGACTGCCATGTGCCATCCCACAGGAAATAGAAGACAGCTGTCAGCCAGGCATACCATCACCAGCTGGTGGTCCTGGGGGACAGGCTGATGGCAGAGTCTGTCCGGTCAGTGGGGCGTTTGGCACTGGCAAAGAAGACCACAGACTGCCCTTGGACAAGATAGGTGAGGGGCTGGCGGACTCCAGTGGGCCATTACCAAGCAGAGGGCACAGCCAGTGTGGCTACAGCAGTGAACAGTGTGCAGGGGAAAGAGAGGTGGAGCTGGGTTGGGAGCTTTGAAAGTGGGTAAGAGGACTGAAAACAGCTTTAAATAGCCTCAGTGTGGGGACTAAGTGCCCATGATGGAGAGGTGCACATTAACTGCTAAGAGGTGGGTGTGCATTATGTGGGGGGAGGGATCTGGTGAAGACTAGGGGATAGGGGTAAGCAGAGCCAAATGCAAGGGGATTGGTGCAGGGGGAGATTCCAGAACACTCAGACATAGCCATTTGTCCTCTTCAGAATGCCCAAATGTTGTGCTGCCCAGGACAGCCAAGAGGACTGAGGCAAGGCAAAGATGCTGGGAAGGCAGAGGAAGCCTGGGCTGGAGCTGGTATGACTGAGGGGTGTGCAGGTGTCCACCAGGACTAGATGGCCAGAGGTCCAGCTGCCCTGTTCCACTCCCACCAGGAATATCTGCCTCTGGGTAGCAGAGCTGGCGCCCAGAGTCTCTCCTTCTTGGCCAAAAAACTGCCTAAATCCTTCTCTCCTCCCTAACCCAGAACCAGCGCTGGTCCTGTGCCAGATCAGAGACCTCTGTCTGCACTGTGAGCTCACTCGCTGCCCAGTGACCTTGGACAAGTCACATTTCCTCCACTGCAGCCGCAGTTTGGGCCACTCATTTTATGTGTGGGTTTTTTTTTTTTTTTACCCTCTCTCTGCTAAGAATACCTGCCCCAGATAATGCTCAGGCTCAGGCAATCCCTGCCAACCGCCTCAGGCATCAAAGGGCTCCAGCAGGGCCAGACCAGACCAGTCTCTTCAACCCCCACCGACAGTCCACCACCACCACAGGGCGACCACCAGGCTGCCAAATTTGGGGACAGAGCCCAGTCGGCCTAGGGGCAGGGAGGCATTTGTGTGTGATGTAGAGGAGGGGAGCTCAGTCCCTCGCAGCAGAAAGCCTCAAATCCCCACCTAGCTGGCTTTCTGTCCCATTGTACAGGAGTCTAAACTGAGGCGCCCCTGGGGGAGAGACAGGTCCCCCAGGTTAACATATCCACCGCGGCCTAAAAGCTGCACCCCTGCCCCAGCTCCACCGCCTGGGGGTCCCAGCGGCCGCCCCCCATGCAATGGGCACTGCCCCCTACGCTGGCACCCATTCCTGGTGACAAGTGCCACGTGCGGACAAGGGGGGAGCGGCCGGTCCTGGCATTGCAGAGGCAGCGCCCGGGTGCCCCAAGCCTCCGCACCGCATCGTGTCCCGGCTCGCCATAGGGTGCCTACCCCTTTACCCGGCCCGCGCTCGGGGCCGGGGCGAGGGCGGGGGCAGGCAGCGGGGTCTTTGTTTCCGCAGCCGGAGCGCAGCGGCGGCGGCAAGGGGTCCGCGCCCCACTTGCCGGCCCAGCCTGGGCCGGGCGCTACAGCAGAGCCCGCAGCTCAGGAAGAGGAGACCTGAGTGGGGGTCCCAGCAGGAGAAAGGCTCCTGCACAGAGGCCCCGGCCCTGGAGAACCGAGAGCGGCTCTGAGCCGAGACAGGGGCCCGCTCCCTCCCCCTGCGCCCCGGCGCTGCGGCTCCCGGCTGCGCGCGGACTTGGAGCGACTTAGCCGGGGCTCCGGGCCCCGCCGCTCGCTCGGCACCGCGCTGCAGCCCGCTCCCGCGTGCCAGCTCACACAGACACACTCACCCACACCCGCACGCTCCCCGCGGGGACAGCCCGAGACCCGCAGAGCCGCGCTCACGCACTCCCTCCGGTGCCGCACACTCCGCACCCGCCCCGCACGGCGTCCGATCCCGCGCGCCGCCGGCCGCGCGGCGCCACCTACCTTTCCAGACAGCCGAGATGCGGGGTCCGCTCCTCGGGTGGCCTTGGGTGGTGGCGGCCGTCCAGACCAGCAGCAGCAGCAGCCGCAGCGGGAACCCGGACCGAGCTAGCGGACCGGGGACGCGGGCGCGCGGGGCGCCGAGGGCGGCGCATCGGGGCGGAGGCGGTGTCATCCCGCGGCCCGGGAGCGACAGCGGCGAGCAGCCTAGACTGAGCCAGCGCCCGACCGCAGGCTGAGCCCAGCGCGAGGAGGCGGAGTCAAACGCCTGACCCCACCCCGCCCCTCCCCCGCCCCGACAGCCCTGCTAGCCTCCCGGCTGCGCAAAGGGGCGCGAAGTGCCTGCTGCCCCGGGAACCTTCGCCGTCCCCTCCCCGGCACCTCCGCGGGGAGAACCCGGGCGGGCGGGGACAGGACAGACTTGTGGTCTTCTGTGCAGGCCGCGTCCCCTCAGGGCCTTAGATCCGCTCTCCCCAGCGGATGGACTAGAAGTCAGGGAGGATCTCTTGGAGGGCACACACAAGTCTACTACCTGGCAACCTCGAATTGCCAGCTAAGTGGGTTGGACTCGAGGGCTGTGGTTCTCAGAAGATGGGCTGGCCTGAGTGGACACGCTCCCTCTGAGCCTACAAGCAGGAACAAGATACTTTCCCCTAAGGGGATGAGGGGGTGGGGCAGAGGGTCGACCATCTGTGGGGAGCACTCAGGACCCCATCACTGTTCTACTGTGAGAACACTGGGGATTTTCATCTTGGCCTGGCTCCCTCCCCTCCCTTCTCCCTTCTCCCCCTTCCCCACCCAGCAGTCTTCTGGGCTGCCTCCCCCCAGCCAGCTGGTGTATGCTCAGAAAATCCAAACTCATTTCCATGTGAGTGGAGGGGGATATAATTAAGAAGGCCCCTTCCCCAAGTAGAAGGAGAGGGAGCATCCTGCATACCCAGGACTCACTGTCCAGGAGGCAGGGTCAGACCAGCTTTAGGGGATCTCTGCCTACCAGGTGCACAGGGCTCAGCTAGGCAGGCAACCTGATGATCCACTGGTGACCCCCTGCAGGGTACAGACCCAGTCCCTCTGCAGTCACCTGAGCAGGCCTGGCAGCTCTGCCATCAGCTCATCCTCTCAGAGCCACATGCCTACCCTTTGTAAATGGGTCTCCTCTCCCTCAGGTCAGCGAGGGCCCAGACCCTCCACCTCTGCTTATGCCCGAGGGAACCGTGGATGGGAAATCCACTTATTCAGTGCTTACTGGATGCCTATCCCCAGGTGGGCTGCACTCAGAGGAGGCAAAGTGAGGAGGAGGTAGCAGAGGTGTGTGTGGGCCTCTAGGACCCACACAGCTAGCTGGACTTGATTCGCGCACTGCAGACACCAGCAAAGACAGGGAGCAGACTGCCCTTGCCCCAGCCCCAGCTCTGGCCCTTTGCCCTGCTCCTCCACCAGGGAAGTTTTGTTACCAGGAAGTTTTGCTTTACCATTCCATATTTTATTTCCAGCTATCCCATCCTGCTGCCCTCAGAGCCCAAGACACCCCCAAAGGTCAAAAGGTGAAATCAAGATGCTTCCAGAAATAGTGCAGAGCTAGGTTCCTGGTCCACTGAGTGGGGCCAACAGTTTCATGATGCCCAGAGATACACTGCCCCAAAGACAGGGAGGCTGTGGACAGTCAAACAGCCCCTCCCCAGGCATGCACCCAAGCCTGCAGCCCTGAAGCCAGCAGTATGGCCAGGCCTAGGGTAGCCTCCAAGACGGACACTCCGTTTTCAGCCCAAGGCCGCATCTGCTGAGCTGTATGGCCCCCAGTGTCTGTCTTCTCTGCAAAGGTAAGCAAATTAAGAAATCACCTGCCCCTGCCTTTAAGAACTGAGAATTCAGATTTAATGATAACACTACCCACGTGCACAGGAACTCAAAACACACAACCCGCTTCCACCCACCTTATCCCTTTCAGTCCTACATTCTCTCCCACACTGAGGGAGAGAACATAACCCCATATTAGAGAAGGAAACTAAGGCACAGGGGAGAGGGATTTTCCCAAGGTCAGCTGGGGAAGCCAAGAAGCTGGGCTCTCTGATCGCAATAGCAATAGCTAATGCTGAGGTTACTATGTGCTGTGCACGTATTATAGCCTTATTTTAGCTGATTTCATCTTCACAATCTTATGAGGTAGCTGCTATTTTTGGCTCCTTTTGCAAATAAGGAAACCAAGGTACAGAGAGGGAATGTGATGTGCCCAAGGTCACACAGCTAGTTAGAGAAGGGCTGAGATTGAAGCTCAGGCAGTCTCTCTGTGCCCACAGCTTTATCTTCTGTAGCATAATACTCTCAATGCAACATACCCTTTTGCCGCTGCCTCCTGTGTGTGGCTGGAATCTGGATACAAATGATCCTCAGAAACCCCAGAGAGGGCCCAGGTTACCAGGTGCTCGACAAGAAGACAGACTAGGAGCCAAGTTCAGCCTCCTGAGCAAGAGGAGAGCAGATGGACACTGGGGCAGATGCCAGGGGATTTTTTTCCCAGGCTGGGGCGGGGTGAGGGGGAAGTGCTGAAGACTGTCCCACCTCATGTCCCAGAGCAGCCTCTGCTGAGCTCCTCCATGCCCACTTCAGCACCTGCTTCACCCGCAATGGGCACCCCTGAGGCAGCCAATCTAGTGGCAAAGGGCCAGGGCCAGACAGCAGCCCCTCTTGGTTGGCTACAGGCAGCCAGGGGAGGGAGCACTGGGCCCATGACTGGGGTAGTAGCTCTATGGAGGGAGAGGGAAGCTAGACTCTAGGCATAGAGAGGAGTAGGTACTCAGTGTTTGGGCCTGGACTTCCCAAACACTGCACGGCAGCACAGGGAAATCCCACTGGAGTGGTATAGGTGGTGACAGGAGCCTGACTCTCTCATTGGAGGCCAATCCTGGCTTTTGGGCCTGAACCAGAGAAAGGAGCACAACACCCACTCAGAGCCAATGAAGAGAAATGGACCAGCAGAGGAAGGAACAGATGTGGATGCTGACAGGTCTGAGGGAGAGGCACATTCCTGCCCTCCCCTTCCCCTCGACTCCACATATGGGGGAGTGAGAGGAGGAGGCTGGGAGAAAGAAATGATGCGGGGGCTCCTATCTAGGAGAAAAATACCTTGAAGAGGTCTTCCTTGTGGGCAGCTGAGGCACAGCCAAATCCAAGGAGGCCCCTTAGGAATCAGAGAAATAGACACACACAGACCTGAGGTTCATAGCCCCGAAGCAGCAGCAGAGGCCTTGGGAGCCTTCCCAGCCTTCCAAGCAGTCTTTCAGGGCCCTACTCGGAGCATCCCTCCACTCCCCAAGGTTCCTCTGACCTGCTCCTCAGCCCTCATCCCATGGCTGCACTTGGTCTTCAAAGGAGTGACCCATCCCTAACAAGAGGCCTGAGGGTGTGTAAGGACAGGCTCCTTATAAGAAGCCCAAGCCCACAACAGCCCCTTCAAGCTAGACTCACCCCTGATATAAGGCATCAGAGCTTGGTGCCTACCTAGGCCTTCTGGCTCCTAACAACAGCAACTCTTACTGCACCCCCCCACCCACCCATTGCAGGGAGATCCTGAGAATAGTGAATCAGGCTGAGGGGGTGTGGGGCTGGGGAACACTGGGAGGGCACATGGCCTGTCTACAGGGCAGTTGCTACTCAGCTCCAGTCCATGGGGGCCATGGCAAAGTACACCCAGTGACAGACAGACTGATTTTTCAAGAGAAGCTAAAAACATATTTTTTGTTGAAACTCCCAGTTTTAAAATATTGGCAAATAATTCAAAAATAAGAAGTTTATGGTGACATAGGCCACATCTGGGAATTCTTACTTACTGTTTGCTCACTGTGCGCAGAGGCATGACATTCTCACAAGCACAGGCACGGACACAACAGCTTTAGTGTACTTGACCCAACTTTCAGAAGACCATGTCAGGGCTGAGGGCTGGACCAGGCAAGGCACACAGAGGAAAGCCGCCTCAGCTTTCACGGGCCCTGGTACCACACCTCACCATCTCCTTAGTGCTCTGCCTAGCCCTAAACATCCACCAGGACATTCCCCTCAAGTGCCTGCCCTCCCTACCTATCCATGCCTGCCTCTTCCTTCCAGGCCAGCTCAGAACCACCACCTCCTGGATGTCTGCTCAGCCCACAGTAATGGAGAACTAATTGCCACCACCCTTCTTAGTCCTGAGAGTCAACACTTCCCAGCAGCATCCCATTGCTGCATCTCTGTTCTCTGTCCTAGTCATTATAGATGCATTTTTATTTGATTGGCCCTACCCTCAACTGCTAAGGTCAGAGTCTGGCCAGCCAAATTGAGAGACAAAAAGTAACAATCCACACGGGGATATTCAGTGATGGAAGGAGACTGGCAGAGAAGAGACAGACCTTTCCTCCTTCCATCAGGGCACGCAGCTCCCCTAAAAAGATGACACATGCCTTCCAGGGCCAGCCCAGTCTCTAAGCCCCAAAACTCTGCCCACATGGCACTGGGCTTGTGGTGGGAGTGCCACCTGGTGGCTGCTCCAGAACAGTGGCATCTTAGCGGAGACTAAATGTGTACCCATATACTACACTCCCAAGCCTTTCTGGAGACAAATTCCACCCTCCCCCGCACCCTACCCCTACCCCGCAAATCCCTCTCTGAGCCTCCATTCTCAGCGCCGAGGGCCTGAGGCAGAGCAGGATCTCGTGGGAGTCATGTGGAACCCATCTAGACTGTCAGTCTCCTGACTAGATATGGTTGGGAGGCCGAAGACCAAGTCCCAGGTAGGCCACTGAGCCAAGTTAAGCAAGGCCCTGCCCCAGCCCAGGCCTCTATTTCTTTGTTTACAAAATAAGAAAGAGGAGCTCAAACATCAGCTCTTCTTCTGGTCTATCTCTTATCAAGACCAGAGATGGACAAAGCTTTCTCATTCTATCTTGTGCATTTGTTTGTTTGTGGGTTGAAATAAATATGCTTTTAAAACTCGAGTCTCTGCAGGATGGAAGGTGTCCCGGGACCCTTCCAGCTCTGATGTAATCCTTCTTTCATGGACACAGTGATCCAAGAATCCCATTTCTTGGAATTAGAAGTAACTCTCAGAGGTCATCCAGTCCAACCTGAGAGCCCCTTACCACAGCCCTCATGGCAGTCATGCAGCCTCTGCTTACATACCTCCAATGCCGATGTGCTCACCCCCAAGGCAGCCGTGCCCATCTCCTTTAGCTCTGACACAGAGCGTTCTTCCCCAGGGG